GGTAGGAGGTTTTGGCCGAGTTTCCACTTATTCGCTGATTATGCTGTATCTTAGGGTACTACGGGAAAGCCAAAGGTAAGTCTCTCCTCCAGCCGTTAATGCCTCAGCATTAATTGAGCTGACAGGGTGTTGAGGTGATATTTAGTATATAACACCGTGCCTCTAAAACCTCATGCAATCTAGACTACTCATCAAAACATGACCACCGTCCTGGACATCGTCGGGGCCGCGTTCCCTACTATGAAGGCCGAGGTTGACATAATGCTGGGTATCCTCCCGTTCTACCATATCTACGGTATGTGTCCTGTATATTTCTCGTCTTGTAACATGCTCATCTTCGTAGGCGTCGCCAAACTCTTGCACTTCCCCTTCACTGCAGGATGCGCCGTCGTTATCCAACGGCGATTCGACCCTGTCCAGTTTTGCACTGTGATCCAGAAGTACAGGGCGACGGTGTCTCTAGTGGTCCCCCCTGTTCTTGTTGTTCTCGCGCGCCACCCTGGTGCGTACCTTCGCCATGATCGACATTCCCTACTCAATCGGCGGGCTCAGCTGTGGACCAGTACGACTTGTCCAGCATGGAAGTCTTGTTCTCCGGGGCCGCTCCTCTCGGCTCTAATCTAGTCAAGTCGGTGTGTCTCTCTAAGTTTCCTGTTACTCTGGGGTTCTCACATTTACGCAGGTCAAAGATCGTCTGCTTGCGAAGCGCGGGGGACGGGGTACATTAGTGATAACGCAGGGTACCTCTATTTCGTCCTGCGGCGTGCAGACGCTAAAGATTTGCAGGCTATGGGCTGACCGAGACCTCCCCGACGACTCACATGCTGCCTGTGGCCGATGCCGAACGCAAAATAGGCAGCATCGGGATACTCCTACCGAATCTCGAGGCTCGCCTGGTGGAAGACGACGACGGGGAGATCGACGCAGCCCAGGGACAACCCGGGGAGTTGTGGATACGCGGAAAGACTATAATGAAGGTCAATGGGATTCGTTTCGCTACTGAGCCAGCACTTGAGCTCTCGCAGGGATACATAAACAACCCCACGGCTACCCAGCACGCCATCACTCCAGATGCATGGTTCAAGACGGGCGATGTCGCCGTCAGAGACCAAGATGGGTACTACTATATTGTAGACAGACGCAAGGAACTCATTAAATACAAGGTATGTAATGACATTCCCATGCGTCGTATCGATTTACTTATGGCAAATCGGCAGGGATTCCAAGGTATGAGTTGAGTCTAAGGCATGGGCTGCACCCTCATCTGTGCCTTCAGTGCCCCCTGCTGAACTCGAGAACATACTGTTAACGCACCCGGAGATTGCGGATGCAGCAGTCGTCGGACTTGAGAGTATCAAGGAGGCTACGGAGCTCCCGAGGTTGGCTCGATGTTTGACGCTCGCACCGTATGTCTTAATTTTTTTCAGAGCGTATATTGTGCACGCCAATCCGGATAAGATCAAGACCACGCAAGCTCGACTCGAATTTGCGGACAGCGTCGTAAAGTGGATGACAACCAAAGTAGCAAGACACAAGTATTTGCGAGGAGGGGTACACATTATTGACATCGTGCCGAAGAGGTACGAGTTACTAACAACAAAACTATCGACATTGACACAACTCTGCAGCGCCTCCGGCAAGATTCTGCGACGCCAACTGAGGGAGTTGGCCAAGCAGCAGGCAGAACGAGGAGACTTAGGTATAAAAGTCCAGGCCAGACTGTAATGTTGCACACGAGACCTGAAATGGGTAAGAGTCAGCGGCTGCAGTTGCATATACAAGGATATCCCGTCAGAGTGTCAATAGTTTGGAGCCCGCCCCACAAGAGGGTATACACCATGAAGAAATTCAAAAGATCCAACGCATCACAGGAAGAAATAGTTGAAGACGTAAGCTCACCTGCGAGCAGAAATCGCATCCTACGAAGGAGGAACAGCAAAGTTCGGGGAAGAAAAAAATTGGGAGAACTGCGCCGAAGGAGAGTGAGCCCCATTGAGTTGAGGACCCGAGGAGGGTCAACAATCGTATAACTATGTCTATGAGCAACAAATTGCCCGCCATTCGACAAACCACCCGAGCAACAGGATGCTCGTATCTTCGCAGACTGCGCCTTTGCCAAGTGATTTGCGTGCAGAGGGGCACCGGAGCGGCTGGGATGGAGCTGCGACGCGGTTTCCCAGGTCGTGCAGGGTCATTCCCGCCGTCCTCGTCCAGACCGACGTGCTTGGGGCCGGTTGCTTTCCATTGGACGGACGAGGACATACTCCGTGTCTCCGGGGACTTTCCCCACAGCAGAGGTCGAGAGCTGAAGCTCTCTGTGCGGGAGCTGCGACAACGATTCTTCAGACGGCGCAGGAGTAAAGAAAAAAAAAGATCACAAACCGGAATTTATATGTGGTCTTGTTTGCGCCGCGCAAACAAATCCCATAGCAGACGCGTACATGTCGGCGACACGCTCCCAAGCACGGCAAGCCCCACCGCGGACGGCAAGTCGGCCTCGCTGGCCCAGCTGCCATGCTCATACTTCTCCAGGTCATGTTCGCAAGCTTTCCGACCCTCAAGGTCATCGAGCCCCCGAAAGGTATGTTACTGGCGCTGTGGCATCCATCGGTTCGATATAGACCGCATCCGCTAGGCAGCTTTTCCACCCAGAACGACCAATGGTGTCTGACGTACTGTTCGCAAAACGTCAGCGGGCGTATTCATAACAAGGCGCCCTCGTGTCAATCGGTTTGCCTCCGCAAAGTCTTCTCTCACGAAGTGCGGAACATCCTTCAATTCCGGAGCCACAGAGAGATCGGCCCAGACGGAAAGGCTCGATACCCACTCCCTCCGGAGGGCCAGCCTATACATCTACCACGATATCTTGGGGGGCGGCCTACGGATGACCCTGAGCATGACAGGAAATCTCCCGCCGATGTCAAATATTGGGAAGAGGGCTGGTATCTCTGGAAGACGAACAACTGGCTCGGAGTGTACCGCAGCATCCATCTCATGCCGAAAACCTTGGAGACACAGGCCTTGGACGATCTGCAGAAAAAGGCAAGCCGGCAGCGGTGGAAGGAATACCAGGAATTTCTGCAGTCGGGCTTGCCGAGGACGGAGGAAAACAAGTGGCTTGGCCCCATCATTCCTCCGAATTACGGGCCAGATCCGACGTGCGTTCAAGGGGTCTCCGTGAGTTTCTGAGTGCTGACGTATTTCCTTAGACCGGAATCGCTACTGGTGCATCTCCCGCTTGATTCTGGGCCTCTGCTGGAGCCCCTCTATCATGTCCTTGCGCCTGCCCACCACTCTTTGCAGCTCTTCCAGGACAACTTTAGCGCTGGTAACTACCAGAAATTTGCGCGCCGTGTTTGGGACAAGGCGTGGACCGGGGAACCTTTCACTCTCGCGAGCCGTGCATGTGGCTTTGGCTACGAGCAGTGGAAGAACAAGAACAAGGGACCGGACGATGACAAGGAGAAGGAGGCGTAGGGTTGTATATTCCGCTATAAGCCACCATGCATATGTATATTGCTCGCAAACTACCATACCACTCATTAGAATGATTACCATGGATGTACTTAATATCAATGCTTGCTTTCACTGTGTGAAGCCGGAGTCCCGTGCATTTTTATAATCTACAACGTGATTCGGGCGGCTTTGTCACCATCCATTGCGTCTTGCCATTGTTTAATGCCGATTCTTCGTTTGCTCTTCTCATCTCCCCGATGTCGACCCCACTCGAGATAAAAAGCGTCAAGCAATGGAACGAAACCCTGCGGGCCTCCACTGCAGCTGGAATGACCGTTCTCGTCGATTTCCATGCTCAATGGTGTCAACCATGCAAGGTGCAACTAATCTACTCGCGTACGAATGACTCCTGATTAAACCAGGCCATAGCTCCTAGATTCAGTATGTTAGCGTCTCAGGTATAACGACTTGAACCTACTACAGCAAAAACCATCTAATTTGCATCATCTAGAATCCCCACGTTCGCTTCCTGCGCGTCGATGTGGACCAGCAGAAGGCCATTGCTGCAAAATACCAGGTCACCGCCATGCCCACTTTTTTGGCGATCAAGGCCGGCAAGGTTGTCGACATGGTTGGTCCCCTCTCGTAGAGTCTGTCTGTCCGTTGACTGATCATGGCCAGATTCGTGGGGCGGACCCTCAAGGACTCGGTCGCCTGGTGCTCCAACACGGGGGCCCCAACCCTCCTGTTCCCCCGCTCCATGAAGAAGCCGAGGCAGCGAAGGTCGCCGGAAATGTATGTCTTATTTCTTGGTTCCCAGCTCAATACTAATTTTATTTTCCCCACAGGCTTTTTACAAAGAAGGCCGCTATCCGGAGGCCATCGAGAAATACACCGCTGCCATCTCAGTGGCGCCAACTTCAGCGGCGCTTTACAGCAACCGTTCAATCGCATATCTCAAATCAGAACCTCCAGAACTGGACCTTGCCCTGGCCGACGCCCAAAAGGCGACCGAGGTAGAACCTAAATGGGGCAAGGGCTACGCCCGACTTGGGGAAGCGCTGCAGGCGTTGCAGAGGGACGAGGAGTGTGCCAAGGCATTTGAGCAGGCCGTAGAACTCTCCCAAGGTCTTGCGAAAACCGAAGCAAAGCAGAAGCTGGACGCAGTGAAGAAGAGGCTGGGTTGGCACTAGATTCCGTCTCGTTTCTGCGTATCTATAGGACCGACTAATTGTATTGTAGCGTGTCGCTGGGATCTCCATAAATGTGTGTTCACGATCAGGTTCGGAATGCTGCATTGCCATCCCTTTCGCGGCGTCGAATTGCTCAAGCCTTCTACTTGATCCAGTATAAGATGATCTTGGTTAAATGCGAGTAAAGTTCAAGCCTGCACGTATATAGTGGTGGCTGTACCCATCAACAATCGCATCAGGAACCAAATACATGACAATTTTGAAAAAATGAGAGAAACGACAGACTGCAGGAACGGCCTTTTTGACCCTCGTTGAAAAAAAAGGATAAAATTGCGAAAAGTACGCTAGTCTTGACGACAGTGGGGTTCGAACCCACGCCTCGAAAGAGACTGGATTACATAATCACCCAATTAAACAAGGGGAAAACCTAATTCCAGCGCCTTAGACCACTCGGCCATGTCGCCCACCCCTGGAGGGGGACGGGGGCCTTCGTTACGAAGAGATTGAGCCACGGAGCGTGCGAATCGAATAAGAAATGGCCGAGAACGAGGAGAAATGGCGGGGGAAAAAAAATCGAGCGATGAACATTGGAGATCCTTCTTATGGATGAAAAACAGGATTCCGGAGATTAGGAGGGCACCAGAGAATTAATGTTAAGCTACTTGAGGCGTAGAGATCATCACATCATTTCGATCACGCGCCTATCACGCTGCGTCTTTTCAACTCGTACGCGCTCCCTCCATGTTCCCTCGGTTGCCTCCTCCTTCTGTAAGGAAAACTAGCATATCTACACTTCAACTTGGGGACCCCCTGGTGAGTCTACCATAGCTGCTTTGCATCCTGTTGACGAAAAAAGCCAGCAGAACGCAGGTTCGTTGGTGGTATTCGACTTCCTCCCTGTCGGCTGGATTACGCGTCAAATTTGCTCCTGTCTTTACCGTAAACATGGAATGCCACTATCCTCCCAAAAGCACAATAAAAAAGCTGGCTTCTTGGTTTCGTCGTCCTGATCTTTTTACTTCTGGCGGCTGTTTCTGTAAAATTTAAGCTTTTCATGCGCTTTTCTTCGCCTGCTAACCCTGCAGATACTAGTATTCTTCCTTGGGTCTCTCGCAGTCTTGTCTTTCTTTCTTCTGCCGTGGTTTCTCTTATTCTTTGGAACTCTTTTCTTCTCCGCAATCCAGCTTGACTTTGGCGCTAGGTTTTCGCTCCTTGTTTTTTTTCTTCTCTCTCCTTCTTTCTTATGATTCTGATCTCGTACGATACTGTTCTTCGGCCTTCTCTGAGTTTCAGGCCAGTGATGCTGTCGGGCGGAAAGAGAAGCAGAAGCGCAATATTTGGAGGGGTCTGGGATGAAGGGGAATCATCACTGCTTCGAAATGAGTCCCAGAACTTATAAATTGAATAACAAATGACCGAGATATCTATCAAACACTATTCCAGATCACGGTGTTGATGGCGCATAGTTGCTCCTTCGCCCTTGCTCCATTCCTCTTCGGAAGTTGGGTGCATATTCCGTAGTATCCTATACACAATCCCTGAATTTTTCGGAATTTTATAGTGTCAGGCTGGAGAGCGACGAACATGCCGACGATCGAGGCAATTTGATCCCCAGTAATAATCACAACAAGACATTCTTCTCTTAAGCCACGACATCTTTTGACTGGGGTAAATTCACCTACATGGCCGTTAGATACCATTCTGTGTTCCTACAACTTTTAAAGCAACGTTCTAAAAGTTTGAGCTCAATGGCACAGTTTTGCTGGATCAAATACTTCTTAAAGGCTTCAACTTCAACTTAGACTTGAGCTTTCAACCCTTGTTGAATTTCTCACCTCTCCCTAACCCAAATCGATACATCCTTGATACCGATGCTTTCATTTTTTGGGAGGCGATAGAACAGAAGTGACTGAAGGATCGGAATTGTTACGTAAGGGTGCTCGAGTCGGGATCTCATGGAAAGACGTGGAAGTAACTGGAGCAGATGCCTCATTCAATGCATTGCGTCTGTTTAAGCGGGCAATCAGGGACGGGAACGTCAAAGCAGACGCAAAAACAATATGCCCAACGAGCGCTGAGGAACGCAAACATCGTAGGCCCCCGGTCACTCAGGCCTCAGTCGGTCCGCTGGAGGCCCCAAATTTTGGTTGATTGTAGTACCTTACAATTTTTGGCTCGTCGACATTGATTTACCTTACCTCGGACCGACTTTGGATCGACTTCTGCGCTAAAAATTGGTACGAGGGCCAATTTTTCTCGTTTTTCGCCCCCTCGCTGCTTTCCCGTCTGGTCAGGCGCTTCACTGCTGCCCTGCGCGCATTCCTCAAGGCGGAGTCCGCATTTTGGACTCAATTTGGCAGGCCATTAGGTGCTGTGCTCAAAATTTTTCCTCAGCCTCCGCCCGATTTACCTTACGACGGACGTACTGTGCACGTCCTGACCGTTGATTTACCTTACAAAACGGACGTAGAGAAGGCAAATTTTGAGCGTTGATTTACCTTACAGCGGACCGGCTGAGGCCTGAGTGACCGGGGGCCTAACATCGTGCTAGTAGCTTTCTTGACGAGAATCATGTGCAACTTGAAGCTTGCCAAAGTTGGCGGGGAGTCTGAACCACATTTTCCTCCAAGTTCCCCGCAAATTTGAGTACTAATTAACTATGTTGAGGAACACTACAAAATACAAATTTGAATCCACAATAGACCACAAGGCCTGGAGAAATATATACAGCAAGCAATTAAAAAAAGTCATGATGTTCGTTAACGGAATTTCCTAGATTCCAAGAGTTCCGGCTTTGCGTAGCCGCGCCCTCTCCAATGGTGTCAGGTCATCGTCCATTATCATGGCTAGAGCTTCCACGTCAGTGATTTCATTTATGAAAGAAAATGGAGCCGCGCACATGAGGACGAGCCATCAAAAGAGTTATCTCCGTCTACGCTATCGTCCATGCCGCCGGACATCAATCTGGGTAGCATCGACTTCCGTCGCTGGATGAGGCCTGTTAGCGAGTGCATGTAATTGACGGAAATGAAAATGAGGCACCTTGGTTGCGGTGGTGTTCATGTCATCCATATCAATCAGATATGGGGTTTCGTCTTCGTGGTTTCGTTTCTCTGCGGACTGCACGACCCATTCCATGCCGACTACGAGCGGTTTGGGATCAGCAAGGGCTCTGGGCAAAATCAATCAAGGTCATATAATCGACGTTTGCTGGGAATAAGCTTACTTGTAACGGGTGTACGTGCTGCGCAAGCCATTCTTGTAAACAATGTGCGTGCATGTCTGGCCGACGCTGCCCAAAACCTAGAACATCTGTCAGCACAAAGATCCTCCCGCAAAAGCACAAGAGAAAACCCACTCTTGCCCCAAGGTTTTTGAGCATATCCGTGATGAAGGATCTTGCAGAATCGTCGTCCCCAATCTCGGAAATTATGTCCACAAACACGATACAGCCCTTGAGGATCGTCAAAGGCTGGATAGGAGTCGCTGTCGGGCGTTGCGCTTCTGCTACCGCCGCGGTATCATCAATAGAAGTGTCAGCGGTCGGAGCACTATTGGCGATTCGCGTGCTCCGCCGCATACCTTCAGAAGGATCGGACGAAGACGGGTAGCTGCTGCTTGTACTCCGCAAGGGCGCTTCGGGAGGCCCCATCAGCCCAATGGGCTTCAGAGGGAGGGACACTGATTTCGACAGATCCAGCCCAGCCATGGATGCTCTCCTGGCCGCATTCTTCCTCCACTCCTCAGGGAGCCGCTCCTTCTCTTTGCCCTTTTTACTCTGCTCGAATTGAACGGCGCTGGAAAAGTCGAAAGTGACCCCGCGAGGAGAGGTGACCCTCTCAGTGACCCCGTCCTTGGCCTCGACCCCCTCTCCTTCCCCCATGAGATCTTCTTCGAGCATGGTAGCATCTCCGTCCCCTCCTCCTCCTCCTTTGACGGGGCTTCCCATGACACTAGGCAGGCCCGGGTGGCGGCTCACTTTCGGTGCCGATCGTCCCCTGCCAGCACCTCCGAAGATGCTCGGTCCGCCGCGCATGATGGAGCCCGTACCGATGGTGAGCTTCGACGCCCCAGCAGCGTTTTTAGAGCCCATGAACGCGGAAAGAGGACGCTGGACTAGAGCAGTCTTCGGAGGAGGTACAGCGGACGTCGAAGGTTTCGAGGAGTCGCCTGTAATAGAGGAGGTCGATGACGAGCAACTTGCGATGGAGGCAACAGTAGACGCTCTTTGTAATCCACCGCTCGGACGACCTATCCCGATACTCCTCTCATCCACGCTTCGGGTGGATTCTGCCAAGGTACTATCGGTGTCGTCTCTGCTGAAGCCCATGCTCGTATTCGGACGTTCGGGGGGAGGCATTCTGAGCTTCTCCAGCGCCGAGGCCAAGGTCTGGAGAGACGAGGGATTCCCACCCGGGCCAGTAAATGTACGCGTGAACGAAGCTAAAAACAGTCAGGACAGTATTACGCCGAGAAAGCCAGGAAGAGACCCACGAGGTGGTCTTGCGGTGAACAGACTAGTTGCCCTAACCAACTTGTTCTTTGTCGGAGAAGGTGAGCCGCTCGGTCCGGCTGCTGCAGACACAGGCTTGTTCTTCGCCGGGGTCCTCGCAACCGCAGATCTTGCGGCGCTCGCCTTGGTTGGATTGGCGAACGACGATAGCTTGCTCGGCGACGCCATAGGGATCTTCGATGGGGAGCGAGACGGCCCAGCTTGCGAGTGCGACGATGCCTGGTCACTCATCCTCTGCTTCTTCGTCGGATTCCCGACCGCTGTTGTCGCCGGTGCAATCCCAAACGAGAAAAGCTTCTTCTGCGTTGGGGCTGAGGGGCGAAAAACGTAAGAACTCAAGTGATAGAGTCAAAAACCAAGAATCTCACCTCCGCCTTCCGCCTCCTTACGTTTCAGCGATGTGCTACGCGTAACTCTGTCGGCAGGCGCCGGGAGTGGGGCGAGCGGGCGCGGCTTCCCCACACGAGACTTTGGGCGGCCTTTCGATTCTTTCTCAGGGGGAGGCTGGGCATCCGACGCTTGTTCGCCCGACATGGATACATCTGCAGGCGGAATGTGCTCATCTACTGAGTCCATGACCACATCAGTGGGCGCGGTGGTCCCGGTAGGGAGCCCCGTTGCGAGATCCTGTTCCACCGGCATCTCGACGTCCACGGTCTTTTCCTCGCCATCTTCGGTGGTTGCATCAGGCGGGAGGAGACGAGGCTCGGCGGGTAGCTCTGGTGGCAAGCTCAGTTGCGCGCCGCCAGTGGGAGACAGTATATCGGGGGAAGAAGATACGGGAGGGAGCGGCCCATCATCATCTATGGGTGGATCTATACCGGGTTCATCGTCATCCAAATCCGTCAACGGGCTCGAAAAGCGTCGGGCGGGCATAGTCGATGGCTTTTCTTCGACGACCATCGCTGGCTCGACGGTAGCAGCATCTATCGTCGTTGTCGGGGTCTCCGG